GACGGAATCCGGCAGATGGAGCATACTGGGGTACCATATGTCCGGACATGTCAATGGTGACGAATGTCAAGCCACGCTCTTCGTGCGTCGTTCCCATGACACCAGCCCCAGCAATCGAGCTGAGGGCAAGCATATCAGTCTCGTAGTAAATGTCGCTGGCCGTGGAGTCCTTGTGGTAGGGCACAAAGAAAGGCTCCTTGGGCTTGGACTGGAATCCGAGTTCCCCACCCCAGGTCATGTTTTGGATGGAGAGCAGAGTGCCGTTGACGAGCAGAATCATGTCCAGGACACCATGTGCGATGATAACGTTCTGAGTAGCGTCGACAACTTGGGGGATAGCCTTTTCGATGGTTGGGGCTGAGTTGTCGTTGCCGTGGACGAAGACGTTGATCTCAGAGCACTCCGTCCAGGTCTTGGAAACGTTGGCGTGGATTGCTTCCTTGACGTCCGTGCGGTCGAAGTAAAGAGGCCCAGAGCCCTCAGGGGAGTAGGTTATAGAGCCTGGGAAGCCGAGAACATCCCACAGCAGGGGACAGGTCGTGGCAACTTGGTATACATCGAAGCAGGGGTTTGGGCTGAGAATCTCGTCCGTAACGACACCCCAGACGCTGGCGCATTCATCGCTGACGGTGTCTGAGTAATCAGAGGGCTGAGGGCCGGGAGGGGGGAACTGGAGGTAAGTGTCCATATACTCCTGGAAGCCACAATCTACATGTTGCTGGTGGATTGTCTTGCTAAACGACTCGTTGAAGGGGAATAAGTTGGAGTGAAAATCGACAAAAGGTACGGTTGTCACCGAGTCTTGGACGACCCCGTTGCCAATCACGGGATCGTAGATCAGCATACCGTTCATGTCATAGTATGTTGTGTCGTTCTTGTCCAACATGGCAGCAGATATGTAGGGAACGTAGGCTCCGGCGTAAGACTCTCCTGCGACATACACTTTGTAGCCTTGCATCTCAAACAAGTCGATAAAGTTCTTCCAGAAGCCGAGGAGTTGCGCTGCCACGTCTTCTTCGCTTGTCGCAGTGGGTGTGCCGGTTGAGAAGCCAGTTCCGATAGGCTGCTCGAGCCAAATGGTGTTGACCAGACGGTTCCAGGCCCAGGGGTTGGGGACAGGCTTGAGTGTTCCATACTGCCACTGGAATGGGCCGTTCTCCTGGAGAAGACCTTCGAATGAAGAGCAACCGGGCTGGTAGAGAGTTAGTTGAGTGGATCGGTAGAATAGGCCGGCCCATGTTAATAAGAACCATGACTTCGTCACTCACACCTCCGTTAAGCCAGAGTAGAATCTCCTTGGAAGGGTGTTCGCTGGAAGGGAAATACCAGAAAAACAGCTGCTCTGCGGCGTCCGGGTCGTCGGTTCTAGTGTATCAAAACACGTTAGTCCGTTTTCTTATTCGTCATAGTCCGGAATAGAATCGATCTGTTTTGTATTTCCCGGCCTTTGCCTGGGGTTTGAAACAAAACAAAGAAGTACTACTTACTATGACACAAATTAGCATAGATCCTTCTGGATTATAACGAATAAGAGAAAAGAACGGGGTTGTTTTATACACACCATGGAAAGATAACCTGAGTATGATTCGCCAACGTCGAAGTCGACGTCGGGAATACCTGTGCCATTGACGAGGTAGTCTGCGGGAATATTGTCGTTAGTTGTGCCCAGGATTTTGTCTGCTCGCAACAGTCGCTTGCGCGAAACTTACCGGCTGTCTTGTCGGTCAAGAATTGGGTCTTTGGCGCCTTCCTCTTGTTCAAGTACTGGTTAGTGAATGGGGCCTCAGGACGTCTCTTCTCGACCTTGTTGTGCTGCCTCTTGCCAACATGCTGCCAACTTCGCGAGCTAGCAGCCTCGGCAACGACAGCCACGGAGGCCAAGCTGGTGGCGAGTGTAGAGAAACGCATTGTGGAGCGTCTTCACTATCAATTGAGTCAATCGACGAATATAATTCAACTGTTTTCTGTCCCAATTGTGCGGATCAGACTAGTAAGACTGGCACGCCGAGACTCTGGGCACTGCAGGAGACTGCGCGACGAAGCTCGGGTGGAAGCACGAGAGAGATCAAGAGCTCCATCTTCTGGTGCTACCTTCATTTTATTTACTGCCCGCTGCCGTTGCATGCAAGACATGATGGACACAACGAACTGCAGGATGACTGGGGTCCTTCCTGCCTTTCGTTATCTCTGGTCCGCTTGACTGGACGCGTGGGGTAACAACAAACGATTTGGCATATCCATTCTACACGGTTCCCCGAGAAACTCATCCTTGCCATCTCGTGCAGATAGAGCTCTTGCAGGCTGTAGCTCTTGTTAAGTGGAGCGTGGACTCAATCAAAGGCTGAGACCGCTTGCCAAGAGAGGCAGTTCGTGGGAGATCTTTGGAGACCATGATAGGGCTAGCATTGCGATCCTTGTCGTCGTCGATTGACTCTTCCCCTCTGTCTTCGCCCATCGCCGGTTGACGTTGATGTGTCGACACACGAGTCCATGCATAGAGATACGACTTTGAAGTCGGTCAATTGGCATAAGCGAAGCAATGAGCTCAGGTGTATGAATTGTATGATAATTTGCTCATTCAATGAGTCTGGGACACGAGGGGACAGGTAGTATTGGGCAACATGGGCTGCCACCCTAATGAAGTCATATCGAGCGAGACCCTGTCGGTCTGAGCTCGCTGCTGTTCGTACCGTAGCACAACAGGTTCGAATCAATGATATCATGATGAATGACCAATTGCAATGACGGAGCTTCGAGCTATCTTGGCGAGCAAGTACCTAATGCATGCGAATGAGATATAATTCACCGATAGCTCGCGTATGGGGAGCCAAAGGGACGACACACCCATCTTGCAGCTGCATCACGGTATCACCCGCCCGGGCGGAATATGCAGAACATTTCCAGAACACCCTAAATTGCGCCCACAGCTCTTCTCCCTAAGACTCAATACGAATGGCGATTCATGTTTGGTGAGTTTACCATGGGGTTAACTGACGCGTACCCAACTAGAGTAGTGCGACGTCGTCGGCAGAGCAAATCAGGAATTGATTTCACCGTGCTTTGGGTATATTCTATATGTGCAGTGTTACATGTTTTACATGATTTACAGGAAATTGTACATGGGCGAGGAGATATGGCTCAGCGCTTCAGCTTCTTCTTCTCGTCCGCCGCATTGAGCACTGCGGCAGCCTCTTGGTCGGCAATCATGGCGTCTATGTCGCGCTTTACCAGCCAATCCTTTGTGCTGCTAAACACCTTGTCCAACGTCTCGCCGCCTTCGAGGACATCAGGCAAGTTGTGGACGTCCATGCCGCTTCGGTGATCTGAGCATCGATCCTGACTGTAGTTGTACGTTCGGATCTTGTCACCGCGGGTGATTTTGTCTTTGCTGAGCACACTATTCCTCAATGCCATTGCGGCTTCTTCTCTCTCCTCTCTCCGCCTTTGGGCCAGGCGGGATCTGAGTAATGCCCAGGCACTCTCCCGATTGCGGTGCTGTGATCTCGAATCCTGCATCGACACTGTGATACCTGTAGGTTCATGAACGAGGCGAATAGCACTTTCTGTCTTATTTACGTGCTGTCCGCCTGCACCGCCTGCACGCATCTTGTCCTCTCGGACTTCTGTAGGGTTCACGTAGAAGAGACTTTCCGGATCATTAAAGTCTTGTTGTTCAGTATTGTGTTCCGGAAATGAGGGTAGAACCCAAACAGCGACGGCACTGGTATGTGTGCGCCCGCTTTTCTCAGTCGACGGAATTCGCTGAACCCTATGCATGCCCGCCTCGCCGCGGAACTTGTCGTAGGCGCCAGGCTCCTGAATCTCCAAGATAGCTTCTTGTAGTGGCGCTTCATTCGCGCCCCCGCCTGAGGTCTCAGCTCCGTCTGTTACTTCGTACTTGACGACTTGGGCACGTATGCCTACTCGGGAACAGTATTGACGATACATGCGGAAGAGGGCATCACCAAAGTATCGGCTTTCCATTCCGCCCGGGCCAGGTCGAACCTCGAGCATACAGGGCATGTCGGCAAAGGGATCGCGGGGTGTAAGGGAGGCCGAGAGGGCGGTAGAGAGCCTCTCTAGACTCTCGTTTGTGGAAGCTAGTTCATCTCGTGCCAGATCCTGCAGTTCTTCGTCTCTCGTTGCGTCTTTAGAATGGAGCAGAGCTGTCAGCTCCTTTATGGACGATTGGGCGGCGTCCCATTCTTTCCACGCTTCGGCAACGCGTGACAGCTCGCCGACTTTCTTCGCTATTTTGACATCGAAGCTGGATTCGAGAGAAAGAGCAAGTTGGTCATGCTCCTGGGCAATGTTTCGCGCGCGGTCGATCAAAACCGGTGGTAAAGTGTTTGCCGACGCTGGGAGGCAGGTAAGTTAGCTAGCTAAACCCAGTTTGTCTAGGAGACGCAGGGCGGATTACCTGTGCTAGCGAAGCGAATGAATGGCCTATTTGACGGCCTGGACAAGGCCGCGATGCAGCGCATACACACCCATTGCACTGGTAGCATCATCAACGTTGGCCAAGAAAGTGCGTGCCTCCAATCTTCATCTAGACATTTTGCGCCCGAATTGGAGCAGCTGAATGCGAGAGTATGCCAGCTGCCGCCGGCCCGTTATGCCAAGATCTAGTGGTCTAAGCCGAACGACTACTCCGTTTCGCCAGGAAAATCTACCGGCTGGTAACCGTTTTCAGATAAGTTAGATCTAGAGAATGATATGAACATTGTGCCACTCAGTAAACGTGGTTTAAAATTCGTTGCTGTGTTGTCTGTCATATAGACGTTGGTGCGCGACGAGTCTAGATGCGACGGCCGTCGTATCACACCTATCGAGGACCGATCTCGTAACAGCTAACAGCAACACCGTATAAAAGGATAGTGTACTACGAGTGGTCCGATGTCACAAGTCTCTTTGTTAGAAAGCAAGCAAGTAGTCACATGAGACATCTGGTCGAGTGGGTTACGAAAAAAAGCTTTAGGGGCCGCAAAAAGATGAGACTATGGTCAGTATAGGGCTTGAACCTATGGCCTTCGCAGTGATCATCATCCCAGAACATTGGGTTACTGTAATTGCGATGCTCTACCAGCTGAGCTAACCGACCTTTGCTTGTGTTGGTTTTCAGTGTGCTGTCAATAGTTATATGAAGAAGTTAGAGGATATTGATGCGACGGAGAATCCGCGGATTGTGTTGGTGTTCCGAAAGGAATGCATGCTGACCTCGGGGCTTGAAGTATGCGAGACAAAGACCCGTATACTACTTAAAATGAGCACATGCGATTACATTCGAACTTGTGTTACCTCAATGACAGCAGAATAAGTAGACGAGGACAGCGGTCGACGATAAGCATATAGTGATTCTTCGGATAGATCATGTCGCGGTAAGAATACAACAAGATATCCATAGCAAGAATGACATGTTTTCGCATAGTCAAGTAGTCACTTAGTTCATAATTGATAGCTCGTAAGAAAAGTTATGACGAGTGTCCCCGCTCTGCTTGTCCCGAATTTTGCCTCGACAGCCTGAATCAAATAGTCCGTGAGTGTGAAACAATACGGGAGCAAAGTGAAGTAAGCTCTAAATAAACATATACATGTCAGCAACATGAGCAATGAGTCAATATCGTGAGATAATTGAATCAGACTGATAATGGCTTCGGAACACCTCTCTTGACCCCTGGCTCTCCCAGTCCAGGAATGATATACGGCGCGCTCTTCTCATGTGACGTTCTTCCAATGGGGAAGAACTTTGTGATGGCATGATGCGGACCATATGCCTCCTCAATCAAATATACCGTTACTCGCCACCAAGCGCACAGAGCAGAAAACATTAAGAAGTAGCTCGCAGCTTTGATACCTCGAGTGACACCGCCCTCAAGGCCGTCATGTGACGCCGAACCCGTCCCACCATTAAATGCGAATAAGCAACATGCAATAGTGCTGCCAATAGCTAGCGAGAATAGGCAAGCGGAGAGAACGACATCTCGTGCCGTTGCGGCGATCGCGCAGGACCATGTGAAGACGCAGAGAACGACGAACCAGGACGCGAGCTCGGGAAAGTGTGTATGGATCTGGTGTGGCGGCACAGCACCGGCAGCCTGGTGATCAGTGACGAGCGTTAGTTCTTGGATCTCAATCTTCAGATCATAAGAGATATCAGACTCACCACGAAAGCATATAAAATCCCAATAGAGATCCAAAAAGATCCCCACAACGTATTGATAACCGTGACAAGCGTGTCACGAGCCTTAAACCCATACAGACCCGCGATGAACTGCGCAAGACCTCCAAATATCCCAACAAATGGAAAGAAGATAGCCGTCGAGTCTGGCTGCCCCCACCAATTTGCGATGTAGCTTGAAGTGATCCAGGTCGAGCCCGCAAACCCAGCAAGACCCAATGCAGCTGGCGGAGCAATCGGCTGGAGAAAGATTGTGAGATTGGGCGCCTGGGTCATGACTTCCGACCGCCGCCGATGTTCCTCCTCTTTATGTGCTTCGGATGTGTGTGAAGCCATGTCCTCTTGGAATCGACTGTCGCGGTGGGTTGACATTTGTGCGAGTCTGTGCCTAACATCAATCGTGCAGTTAGGTACCATATCAGATTTTTGCACAGTCCATCTGCTCTCTAAATGCAAGTTAAGCAGTTTTCAATACAATATCAGGTTGTTCTCGGATACTGCGTCACGATGCGAGACTATAACCTCAAAGGGTAGGCATCCCCCGAACTCAAGCGCTTGGCTCTCACGTCACTGTGATGTGATCCTAGCGCATCAACCAGCAGCAATAGCTATGGATAGTGAGAATGGCAAAAAGTGTATGCCTTTTGGATAGATTTTGGCGTCCAACCTTAAAATCTTCGAGACTCATTCTGACAAACCTTGAGAGAGAAGTGTGCCAAACGGGTGGCAGGCACGTCCGACTTTGTAGTCTCTCCTGAGCCAAGCGCCGGCTGATTGATGCGTGAGAACATCTTGGTGTATCTTAAGCTTCAAGTCGGTACACGGAATGAATTACCTCGCACCAATGGATTTAAAGACATCGGCTGGTGAGGTGGACACCTGGGTAATTCGATTTGGGGAATGCAATGCAGTACAGCAAGGTCTTTAATGCCTGGTGTTATGCAAATGTTGTTTTGATGATTGGTGGTGAAGTATAAGTATTCCTTGGAGTTCTAATTAAACCTGATGGATCGGAGGGGATACCTTTGTTAATCCTTTGATTTCACCTGACGGCGAGTAGGAACCTCCAGTACAATTCGAGAGACTCGAGGTGTTGAGATCCAAGCTCATGATGACCCCTAATTCGGCATCTAGAGTAAGTGAGTATCTGGGATTATTGCAAGTTATTCTTTGTGGCACTCCGCTCCGTATGTGAATAGCTCCATCCATGGAGAATGGCGACATCGTCAGACGATCTTGGACGCCCAGAGCTGGAATTAACATGACCGAATTGTCCGAGGGTCCTATGACGAACTCGTCCACCATCCCGCTTGAGGCTCCTGTTAAGACGATTTTGGTCGCCCTGTCACCTTTCCTCCCGGATCTCTGAGTTTCGGGACAATTTCTCTCCTCCTATACCGATTGTCTGAGGATGATAACAGATACTCTGCTCATTGTTGCTGGTATGAACAGCTGGTGTTCTTCGCCCCAGATGGACAACTCGAAGCGGAGAACACCATCAGCGAAGCAAAGGCAAAAAGAGGTATATGGTTCTCTCCGGGACTGCGGACATCGTCGCTAACTTTTACCTGGAAACTCGTTACAACAGCCTGGTCGTTGGGAGCTTCAGTCGACAGTCGCTATATCGGCCGGTCAGAAACCACCAGATTACGACACCACGCGGACACGCTTGCACCAGTATGCGACTGCATCCGTAAGTCTGGCTAGATCATCGAGCAGCTCTTTGCTCGGACGTGGTAGGACCCGGCCCCAGGCGTTGGTTACATAAAGTACGCCTTGTAATACGCATGATTGTTTGACACGGGCTGAGAGGCGACGGATTATTCATTTCGTGTTGTACCGTGATGTGTGGCTTCTCAAATGAGGGCTTCTATTACATTACCATAGCGGGCCAGGGAGGGTTTTGGTGATTCTGTTCGATAGGGTGTCCGAAATCGAATAGCCTTTCGATATTTGCACTGAATTGTTGCTAGCTTTTTCGTCGCTACGTAAATGTTACCACCTTAAAAAATTCGGAAATTATGGCATATTAAGTACGGCTATTGAATGGGCCATAATTTTTTATTTTTGAAAATGCCGTACGTATTAAAGATCGTGTTTTAGTCGTCGTGTTTTTTAAAACGATATTCCTTTTAGACGTATACTACTTTTGGACACTCTATTTTTATATAAAAAAATACGTGGCGAATATTGCCAGTACAACATTAATATATGCATATTAATATTTCGCTACGGCCATAATTATGATTTAATAAAGTAGTAACATTTAAGTGGAATAGGCGAGTTTTTGCGTAACTGAGTAGCGTTTCCAACAGAGTCACCAAAAACCCCCCTGGCCCGCTATGGTAGGTACATAATACGATCGTGACAAGACTACTGCTCTCCACTCAAGGTCTGGTTCGAGATATAGATGAGCATCGGAACTGTCGCCGCGTTCTGGTCTACAGAGCACTTTCGGACACTCACTCATAGATTTTTCAATGCGTATATTAAAGGAACGTAAGCAAGATAGGCTTATCCATAGGCCGAATTCGCCTTTTATCGGGGGCAAAATTGGCCTGTATATATAGATAAACAGTTTAAAGTCGCTTAAAACTAAAAACAAATAAAACAAAAACAAAATAACTTAATTATTTTTATTTGCGATTTTTTTTACTTTTTTATTTATAGCTATTATTATTAGTAACCGGGGTAAAAAATAGGAAAATTTGAAATAAAATCTATTTAATCGTGCTTAAAAAATAATATTATTAAAAAAAGTTTATGTAATAAGTCTAATAAGCTAATAAATACTTATTATTTATAAAATATTTTCGAATATTTATTTATAGATTTTTTAATATATATATTAAAAAAACGTAAATAAAATAAGCTTATTTATAAGCTAAATTTGCTTTTTATTAAAAGCAAAATTAGCCCGTATGTATAAATAAACAGCTTAAAGTCGCCTATATTTTACGCTTTATATTTATTTAAATTTTTGGTATTTAATTGGCTAAAAAACGTAGTAAAAAAAGGGTCGAATTTAAAAAAGCGGATTCGGCTTTTCGAATTCGGAAATAGTCAAATTTAACCTAATATATATTAAAAAATTTTAATAAAACCGGGTTTTAAAACTTTTTTCCTTTTTTTATATATAATTTAAGTAAATATTTAAATCGTATATTTATCGGTTTAAATTAAGCCGACCTAAATTAAAATTAAAAACGATTTATTTTAATAAACAAAACTAATTTAATCCGAAAATATATTAAAAACGTTTTTTTTACTTGCTTTATATTTATTGCTTATAAACTAACTAAAATTTAAACGGTTAAAGCCGCTTATAAAACCGTTTAACGCTTAAACAATTTTAATAAGTTTTAACTTTTTATCGTTTTAAATTTAATTTTAACTTAAAAGTTAAAGTTTATAGTTATTATTATTAAAAATAGTATTTTTTGCTAGCATTATATCGTTTATTATATTAAAATATATTTATTTTATTTTGAAAATAAAGCAAAATCGCCTTATTAACAAGCTTAAAATGTTAACATTTTTTATAAAACCGACTTTTTTAAAACAGGTATAATTAAATATATTTACTATAAAAAAAACAAAAATCGGAAATAAAAACGGCGGTTGTAAGCTTATAAATACTTTTATTTTATTACGGCTTCAAAACAAATTCGGCTTTAATTTTTTTAAAAATACTTAACTAATAATATTTTAAACTAAATCTATATAGCGTTTATCGATAAACGTTATAATTATTACGCTAATTATAAAAACTTTAAATATTATTAAGCTTTTTTTATTGCCGTTAGTATATTTTAAAAATATTTTGATTTTAAAGCAAATTCGGTTTATTAATATATTATAGCTATTTTAAAACGAAAATAAAACTTGTTTTATAATATTTAAACCTTTACCGGTTTCGTTTT